GGTGGACTGTGTGTGTATTTCAGAGGGGGACTGTGTGTGTGTATTGCAGAGGGGGACTGTGTGTGTGTATTGCAGAGGGGGACTGTGTGTGTGTATTGCAGAGGGGGACTGTGTGTGTGTATTGCAGAGGGGGACTGTGTGTGTGTATTGCAGAGGGGGACTGTGTGTGTGTATTGCAGAGGGGGACTGTGTGTGTGTATTGCAGAGGGGGACTGTGTGTGTGTATTGCAGAGGGGGACTGTGTGTGTGTATTGCAGAGGGGGACTGTGTGTGTGTATTGCAGAGGGGGACTGTGTGTGTGTATTGCAGAGGGGGACTGTGTGTGTGTATTGCAGAGGGGGACTGTGTGTGTGTATTGCAGAGGGGGACTGTGTGTGTGTATTGCAGAGGGGGACTGTGTGTGTGTATTGCAGAGGGGGACTGTGTGTGTGTATTGCAGAGGGGGACTGTGTGTGTGTATTGCAGAGGGGGACTGTGTGTGTGTATTGCAGAGGGGGACTGTGTGTGTGTATTGCAGAGGGGGACTGTGTGTGTGTATTGCAGAGGGGGACTGTGTGTGTGTATTGCAGAGGGGGACTGTGTGTGTGTATTGCAGAGGTGGACTGTGTGTGTGTGTGTGTGTGTGTGTGTGTGTGTGTATTGCAGAGGTGGACTGTGTGTGTTCATTTGTTTTGCAAATACCTTGACTGTCACATTTAGCATACAAATATATCAGTGGACACAAATGTCTACCCCATGTCCCCCTCCCCGGATCAGCTACAACCTTTTTTGTGATTGTACAGAGGCCGTTGGATGAAACGCAGAAGCTGGAGGCAGATAGGCGTTTCATCCATGCAGGAAGCGGCCTCTCTGAACGATTCTCATAATTGATGTTCTTGCTCTGCCATTAACCAAACTAATTAATATTAATTTAAATGGTGATTAGGATTGAATTAGCGAGTGAGAAGGCAAGCGGAACACTGGGATGGCTTCTGCAGCAAATATGTTGCTGCTTTTTTTTTCACTTTTGTGTTTTTACGGAAATCTATAGATAAAATCAAAGTAACATAAATCTTGTTAGGCTCGGTCAGCCAAAGCGGGAACCTTGAATCTGAACTCCGGCCTTCCCTTCAGTCTTGCACAGTTGTACCGGCTCCTCTCCTTGACTGAAATGCTTCCTCTGCACACTGTGAGCTTCATAGTGTGCCATATTTAAAGCTTGATCTGCTGAGTTTGTCACCATCCCTGGTCCCTACTTTACAACTCCCCAACATGCTGATTACATTTTTAAATAAAACCTTTCTATTTCCATTGCATCTTCTTCTTCTTCTTCTTCTTCTTCTTCTTCTTTTTTTTTTTTTTAAGATTCAGTGAGGTAATCGCCGGGTCTCTGTGCTTTCCTGTGCAATACAGGCAAATCAGGCTGGTGGGAGGGCAGAGTGCTGTACATGGCTTTCTGTTATCACAGCACCCTACCTATATTCTTCTCTTAAAAGCCCTCAGCTCTGATCCAAGCAGTTGCCTGACTTTTAGGAGGAATTGTACAAATCCAAAAATACCTAATGGGTGGATGTCAGTCTGGAGCAGTCGGTGTTTCCAGGCATACTGCACTTGCATACAGACCATCCTAGGCAACACCCACATGTGATACTGAGCCTCCATGATGGAAAGAACTGAAATCCAATGCATAAAAGGGGCAGGCAAAGGACAGTCAGGCTGATGGAGAGTAGAGGTAGGTGATGCTGGATGTTCTCCAGCCTGAAAACGAGGCGCAGTGTTCAGTAATCAGAGGAAGCCATTTCAGTCCAGGAGAGGAGCCGGTACAACTGTGCAAGACTGAAGGGAAGACCGGAGTTCAGCTATAATGCTTACCCCTCCCATTGTACTACAACACTCTTTAGGAGCTTCGCTGGCTGAAACGTCTTCATTATCCAGCACATTTCTGGGTGACATTGTGGTTGCAGGAAGGGACCACACTGTGCGGAGTGGGATCAGACTTCTGACATTCCTGTAAGTGTCAGATGCAGAAGATTCTTCAGCCAGTGGAGTTCCTGAATAAAGCGGGTATCAGCAGTGTAACAGGTAAGTATTGCAGATATGGCTGCACCTATATGCTGTACAGGGACTGCAAAAGACTATAAAGAGCTTGAGTGTTAGATGGAGAAGCAGTACAAGGCTGACAGGAGAGCAGAGGGACTAAGAGATGAGAATATCACTGTGCCGCTTCTCCTTTCACTGTCAAGTCACAGGTTGGGGCTGATTTTAGGGCAACCTGGGCCCAGGTGAAATGGGTTCAATAATGCTGACCATCATATGAAGTACTCTGGATTGATTGTGAATATTATAGCAATAGCTGGCTTTAGTATCTTATTTTTTTAAATGTTGTTTTTATTTGGATTGTTATTTTTGGATACATTTCTGCTTTCAGGATTGTAGCCTATCATGTTATTAAAGTGTTCTGAGATGTATTTGCTGTAATAAGAAATGTGATGCGTTTCTTTTCTTCCTAGGGATAGAATGATGCTGCTGAAACTAGAACAGGATATATTAGACTTCATTGCTACCAATGAGTAAGTTGAATGCACTTTTTATATATCCAATCACAAAAAAATCAACAATATTAATGGCGTCAAAGTTCATCCTCCATAGGGGTACAAACACTATGACTTTTCACAGGTGGGCGGCACTTTTGACAGTCAGGGTGTCTAAGTCTAGCAAACATAAAAGCAGTGCTCCTCTCTTGTGAAAAATGTACTCGCAAACAGCTCGTATTAGAAAGCCAGAGGTTACAGAGGTGCATCCGCACTGTGAGAATATCGGAGAACTTCTTCCTACATGACAGACTCGGGTGACACCCCTAGTAGAATCTACACAAGTCTTCTACACGAGAGGTGCACTTTTTATATAGTTCTAGTACTTTGTACATGTGTGGGATGATCGATGGCGTCACCACGGCATACTGTAGGAGTCTCCTTTTCTCCTCATAGGCAGTTGTATTTGCTGTAGCTGACAACAAAGTTGTGTTCTTCTAGCTGTGCTATAAGGAAACAAATTCTATTTGTGCTTCTGCATGTAATTTGGTTTATTGTTGCAGAATACAGCGGAAGAAGTTCCCGCCGATGACTTCCTATCACAGGATGCTTCTGCACAGAGTCGCTGCATATTTTGGTCTTGATCATAACGTGGATCAGAGTGGAAAATCTGTAATTGTGAACAAAACAAGCAATACAAGAATGTGAGTCGCAGAGGAGTGTGCGAGAGCTTGGCGCTGGGGGCAGCCAATCACACGAGAGCCTCATTAGAATATGCTTTAAGGCTGTTTAAAGTGTGATTCCACTTTTGCAGTCACATTTAGGACAACCTCTCTTTGTGCCCCTATTGACACCGCATACCCAACAAAATATTTCTCACCTTTTTAGATGTCTCTATGTAGCAGGTCTTTGCCAGCTTCTAGTTGTTCACGTCTAGTTTACAACTGATGAGATCTGCCAGCACAGTACAGACGGGGTTCATTATGTGACCATTAATCTGCTCATCCCCCTTGCATTCCAGAGCATAAGTCAGCACTGAGAACAATGTTTCTTTCAGAATAGAGCATGTATTGTGCAAGCAGCAGTTTGATAGAAAGTTATTTAAATGAGAAACATGTGAGAAATATAAAATAGGTCTTTGGCTGCAAAAGTGGAAATACATTTTAGGCTTTGGAGTCAGCTTGTTCATTGGACTGGGCGTTTCACCCAAAACATTCATGGTGGCGGTGAAGCTGATCCAGGAAGTAGGGTTGTTTGGCAACGAGTGCCTATTACTGATGGTCGTATATCTCTGTGGTTTGTCTAAGGTCTTTATTGGATAGGATAGTGGTACATGGCCAGCGTTGTACCATGCAAAGATCCCTAGGCTTCTAGATTCCTGATGATAATGATGATGTATGGGGACCATGCTAAGGTCCTAGGCTTCTAGATTCCTGATAATTATGGTGATGAATGGGGACCATTCCAAGATTCTAGATTCCCGATGATGTATGGGGACCATGCTAAGGTCTTAAACTTCTAGATACACAGGGCTGACATAAAGTTAATCATCGTAGTCACAGTGCACATTTTACAAGCAGAGGGGAGGTGTCGCCTGTGTTTTTACAGTGTGACTTCAACGTACCAAGAACTTATCACTACACAGGCACAAATTGTTTAATGCACAACATCATCATAATTATCAGGAATCTAGAAGCCTAAGACCTTAGCATGGTCCCCATACATCATTATCATCAGGAATCTAGAAGCCTAAGACCTTAGCATATGGTCCCCATACATCACCCTAATTATGAGAATCTAGAAGCCTAGGGATCTTTGCATGGTCCCCATATATCGCCATAATTATAATCAGGAAGCAAAAGCCTAGGACCTTTAGCATGGGCCCTATACATCATAATTATCAGGAATCTGGAAGCCTAATGACCTTAACATCTTACCCATACATCAGCATAATTATCCAGACTCTAGAAGCATAGAACCTTAGAATGGTCCCTATACATCACCATAATTATCCGGAATCTAGAAGCCTAGGACCTTGGCATGGGCCACTATCATCTTCATAAATATCATCATAAATATCATCAGGAATGTAGAAGCCTAGAACTTTAGCATGGTCCTCATAAATCACCATAATTATCATGAATCTAGCAGTCTAGGGCCTAAGCATGGTCCCCATACACCACCATAATTATCATTATGAATTTAGAAGCCCTCTTATATCATACCTTATAGCCCTCTTATATCACCATAAATGTTAGGAATCTAGCAGCCTAGGACCTTAGCATGGCCCCCATACCTACTTACATTATAATTATAATCAGGAATTTAGTTGCTTAGGATCAAAGCATGGTCCCCATATATATCAACATAATTTTTTTAAGAATCTAGCATTCTAGGACTTTAGCATGATCCCCATGCCTTACGCCCAATAGGGTGCAAATCAAGCAACCAAACGTTTTCTATCCCTCCAGCACTACCACACACTTGTCATTGCTGACCTTTTCAGTAGTTTCTATTCTCATGCATACGGCAGAATATTGTACAGATTCAGCTATTTGTTTTTGTCCATGAATCGTATACAATTCCGCTTTCTCATTTCCAGAGTCATTATGAAAACGTCACTTTGATTTAATAACACAAGTGTGTGTGTGTGTGTGTGTATGTATAGTGCAGTAAGGCCCCATTCACACCTAGGCGTATTGTAATATGCGCCTCTGTCACGCGGTTTTTACCGCGATTTGCGGTAAAGTCGCGCGACCCCAAAGGCTACTTGGCTGTATCCCAATGGAAAACGCCCTACAAAACAGCCCAAAGTAGTCCCGGGACCTTTTCAGGCGTGGGCCGTTTTGTAGGGCGTTAGGGACGGGCGGAAATACGCCTAGGTGGGAACGAGACCATTGACTACAATGCAATTTATATTTTTGACCGTTTTGTAGAGCGTTCGTCGAGCGTAGAACGCCCTACAAGACGGTCAGGTGTGAACGAGGCCTTAAGGTGGAGGTTTGTGTTTTTTGGTTTTTCCCTTATCATCACCTTGTAGACCGTACTCCAGTACATCCTAATTATTTGCTTATGGAAACCTAGAACGTTTTACAGACTATTCGTGCTTTATCATCTTTCAGCCCTGATCAGAAATTTGAGGAACACATCAAGGATGAAAAAAGCATGGATTTCCAGAAGCGTTACATTCTCAAGAGGGATAACTCCAGTTTAGACAAAGATGATAATCAGGTGGGGATTTCATATTTTCGCAGCCACTTGCTTAAAGTTTGGATTAGTTGTCTGGAACGTCTAATCTATTTCTCTGCGCAGATGAGGATGAGATTAAAAGAGGACAGAAGAAGCAAATCGATAGAAGAACGGGAAGAAGAGTACCAGCGAGCTCGTGAGAGAATATTTGCCCAGGAAGTAGGCAGAACATTTTCTGTGACTTTAAGTAATAACAATGTGGATGTTTGTTGAGGTTCAAGCCAACTTAGGTTTTGGTACATCTTTGTTGTAGACGGAATCAAACACCTCGCCAGTAGATTTTGGTTCAAGAGAGTATTATTCAATGATGTTCAGGAGTGCAGGGCGATAACGGGGCGGCTCTCACCAGGTTCAGAACAACCTCAGCACTACAAGACACAGAGCGCCTCCATCGCATAAAAACTTTTTAATAGACGAATAAAAAATGGTATAAAGGTACTCGCAAAGGACGAATAAAAACAGGCATAAAAGTGTTCCCCCAATTGTTTCTGAAGAAGGAGGCGTGACCTCTGAAACGCGTAAACCACTTCACTACCAGGGAAGACGAACAGCGGCTGGATATGCACCTTTCGTTCTGACCCTTTTATGCCTGTTTTTATTCGTCCTTTGTGAGTACCTTTTTTTTTTTATACCATTTTTTTATTCGTCTATTAAAACGTTTTTATGCGATGGAGGAGCTCTGTGTCTTGTCTTGCACATCTTTGTTGTCTTAAAGGAGAACACAACCCTTGCAGTGGGGCTACCACCGTGCCGGAAGGGTTAAGTGCTCGTTTTGGTCTAGGGTCTAAAATAACAGATATACTCACTGGAACCTCTCTTCTACCTAGGTGCTAGACCGGTCCCTGCGATCTCTCTCCCCCCTCCAGCAGTCTAAGAACCCGTGCGTTATTACGTCCTATACAGTGTATTGTACGGGAGGATGCCGAGGGACAGGGACGAGAGGCTCCAGGGACCAGTCAAGCAACCGAGGTATATCTTTGTTATTTTAGACCCTGGATGAAAACAAGCACTTAACCCTTGCAGTGTGGGGGTAGCCCCACTGCAAGGCTTAAGGCTCCATTCACACCTGCACGTTTGGAATTCAGCGCGTTTTTACCCATGGTCTTACACACACAAAAACGCCGAAACGTTAATAGATCTTTGCAGCTTCAATCATAGTCTTTTGGAGGACAGAATTTGCTGATATCGCCCAAAAAATTGCACACATACTTTCCCACGTTCAACGTTTTTGTGCGCGCATACGAACACGCAGGTGTGAACGAGCCCCATAAAAATGTATTGCTATTTTATGTTTTGCCCGTTCACGCACGTATGTGTGAATGGAGACTCTCTTCTTTTAGTAAACATGTGCTTTGGCTCTACAGGGCTAAACCACACATACTTCAAGTAAGGGAAAAGCTTAAAATGTTAAAAGAGCTGAGAATTGCTAATCTCCGACCTTATTTGAGATCGGCAGAGTTGGGAAAGATGTAAACGTGTTCAGTTCCAGGAGTATCTATAGCAGACTCTCCCCAGTAACATTGCAGCACTCTGATTAAGGTCTGCAGGCGTCAAGTATCCCTCATCTCTCTGGAAGGTATTTAGGACTCTAAACCACTGAGCAGTCTCTCCGTAAGGCCAGATTCTCAGTGTTGAGGGGTTTTACGTTCAGGCTGCTAATGCAACGCAATTTAACAGGTTTGTTTTTTTAATTTTTTTTTGATCAAACCAGCCCCACAGCACACATGGATGCATGGTGGTACGCTGCCAAGACACACGGGTGCCATTCAAAATGAATCACACCGGACTGCTTCTAGTTTTGTGTGTTGCCATATGTTGCAGTAACGCACTTTAAAAGGGAATCCGGCCCATATTGTAAAGGTTTAACACATTCACAGGGACCCTGTTAAAAATCCAGGAGACAATCTGTGGCCATTTAAAGAATAATTTGCTTACGCCAGCATTAGTACACCAAAGTTTTGGTCCAGCTCCCAATGTTGGATACCCCTGGGTGACCTTTGTAATAATATTGCATTGTTTTCTCCAGTGCATATTGTTTAGTTCTATCTGTCATATGCTGAACTTTGTCTCCGTGTAAACACCATCTACATTGTTTACTGTATCTGCAGCCTCTATTCAATTATTCATTTAAATTGATCTAAATGAACTGTTTACCCTTCCTAGTGCGCAGCAGTCAATTACATCTTGAGTAATTCTTCTTCCTTTAAATCCTTCCATCAGTCATTATGCTCTCAGGAGAATTACCTCACCGATAAGAGGTAGGTGGCATTGTGTGTGTGAGCGTTGTCCATTTTTATGACTCTCCTGCGTATTGCTTGCAAACTATTAACCGTTTTTGTTGAAATGCCCAACAGAATCCAAGAGGAAGAGTCTAATATTACGCAGCAGAGACGCCAGATATTTAGGTATTGGCTCATTTAACGTCCTCGTCCTCATGCATGTGTGTTGCGCTTTCTTGTTCCTTGCGATCTCTTTTTTCCATATATCTTTACAGTCCAGTTGTGTAAATTTCAGGATCAATAAAGACGCTTCAGGTAGATCAGGAAACAGCCTCTACAGCAGTACTGAGAATGACCTGAAGTACAATGAGCCGCGGCCGTGGAGCAGTACCGACTCTGACAGCTCCATCAGAAACCTGAAGCCCGCTGTCACCAAAGCTAGCAGCTTCAGTGGGATTTCGGTTTTGACACGAGGGGATAGCTCTGGAAGCAGCAAAAGCACAGGCAGGCTTTCCAAAACAGGTATCAGCGGTGTGCGCAAAGGCAATCGGCTGCCATGGCATTTTGTCTATCTTGTTTTATGGTGTATGCTTTTGAGTTTTTGTTTTTTTTCCCCCTTGTGTGCTTGCCTTGAACACGCCTTTTATTTGTGGTCTTGTGGCGGGCTATGTAGGGTTAGGAGAGTTCTAAAAAGAAGCTATATGCTGCAAGGACTTGCATAGCACCCTCCATACCTTTTTGTTATCCTTCTTGTATAGCAAATACATATATTAATATTATACACATAAAAGATCACGTTCTGTGCAAAGGCCTTTTAATGATCCTATGTGCTGTTCTGGATTAAATTATTAAGATCTGGCAGAATTTAAGGAAGAACTTGCGCTTTACCCTTACAGTGGGGCTACCTCAACACTGCAAGGGTTAAAAGAGAACTATGGGGTAAGTGTTTTTCCTCATAGTTCTCTTTACGGACACGGGAGGACATATACTAACCTCCTCCCGTGACCCAAAGCTCAGTATATAGCGGGCAATAGCTCGGTATATACTGAGAGCGCCGCAGCCGGGACGGATCCCGGCAATACTGTCGAGATCCACCTAGCTGGCTGATTGACAGCGGGCTCTGCCTATCTAGAGGCAGAGCCAGCTGTACCCGCCTCCTCCCCATCCGTTCCTCCACTCAGCGCTGGAGAGAGGAGGGGGGAATCCCTGCGAGGAGCGGTGACAGAGTCGCCTCTTTCTGCAGGGAGATGACCAGGAAGTGTGCGAGCGACTATGTGTTCACTCCCCGATCAATAGAGTCGACGTGTGACAGTTCCACTGTCACACGTCCGCTCTGACCTCATAGTTCTCCTTTTAAGTGCTCATTTTGGCTAGTGGGGTTCAAATAATGCAGATATACTCACCTGATACCCGGTTCCATGACAGTTGGCACTCACTCCTCTCCTCCTCCACTTCAGGTGTGCAATGTTCTCAGGTGTTCATGTCTAATGCAAGTCAATAGACATGCATTGGGCGTGATGATGTCGGCAATCCTTAAGGTGCCCATACACCTTACGATTATCGGACGATTTTCGTATGCGATTTACTTTTCGTCCGATAATCGTATGTGTGCATTGCAGTGTCCGACCGACATTACTGTACAAATCGTACGGTCAAGCATGTTTGAAAACGTTGCTAGATCGTACGATTTTCGTAAGGTTGCTGGCGTTTCCGTCCGTCAAAAGTCGTACGATCTACACTGTACTTGCGCGTTAACGAAAATACAGCAAATCAATTACCGCATTTTTTTCCAGGTGCTTTTCGTTAATTACGGCTAAATTAATCTTGCGATCATCGGGGCAGGATGGGGCTGCCGTACGAAAATCGTACAACTTTTCGATCATCGGACGAAAAGTTTCGTTGGATAATCGTAAGGTGTATGGGCACCTTTAGACTGCCAGATCTCAGGGGAGAAGAGGCTGTGGGCAGCCCGGGGACACTGAGGATAAGGCCACCTAGACAAAATGAGCACTTAAGCCTTGCAGTGCAGGGGTAGTCCCACTGCAAGGGTATGTTTTTTTAAATTCTGATTTAAAGGAGTTCTCCACAGAAAGTGGACCCTTGCATTAAATCCCTCCCCCCTCCCCCTTAAGATGCTGGGATTGGTGCTTGCTCTCTATACTAATTAATTTCTGAAGATATACTTCTCAGGCCTCCCGTAGTGAGAGGTTTTCAGCTGCATTGGCATTAAATGGGTACAAATTGTGGGCCTCTGCAAGTAGGTGGGCTACAGGAATACTCCTTTAATAGAGTTTAGTTTCATTGTTTGTATGGAGATTGCAAGAAAATAGAATAGGTTTAGTTTATGGCAGAATAGATTGATTGCTTATGCCCAAGTAATCTAATCTAACAAATAGCATGATTATCATTGCAATCACAACGAGTTTCTCCAGGGAGTCGTTGAAGTAAAACTCAAGTAAGCGAACAGTTCAAGCCCCGGAACACCCCCCACCGTGTTTTTCACACGTCACAGTTTTTTTGCAAAACTTCAGATTATTTTAGGCCAGTTTGTTTTGAAGTTACTGTACTATTTCTATGGATCGGTCACATATTTTCTTTAGAGTGGTTTTGCAGAGGATGTAAGGGTGCAGAGCTTGTCCATTAGTGTGGCAAACCAACCATATCTGTTATCCACAGAGATGACTATTCTGTAGGGAGGAAAAATGCAGGGAGTATATTTATATTATTTTGGCAGTACCGGGTATTTTTCCAGCAGCTTTGGCAAATGAAAGGGGCTGCAGGAGAACACAGGAAACATATTAGAGGAAGAGGAAATAAGCTCAAGGTAGAACCTTTAACTATGTCCGTAATTTAAAAAAAATACCAAAAAGGTAAATTTGATAAATTCCAAATATTTATTTTCTCAGATATTTAGAACTTTTTATAGTCTTTTTACTTCATCACGAAAGGATGCTGTAAGTGGACTTGCAGCCCCCCACTACCACAGCTCATTAAGTTGTCAACGTCTAAGGAATTGCTGAGGGCTTTGTGAAGTTTCAGCCCTTACTGGAGATCAGCCAGACTTAGAATAACCGGTCCTTAGCAGAGATGCTGCCCCAGATAACCCTAGAGCTGAGTAGATATCTATGACGACTAGTCCTCTGTGCGGCTAAGCTCAGACAAGGCTCAGCTCTGCAGTCGAAGTTAATGAGCTGACGGATTTAAATCGCTGAACTGTCTCCAACATCATTAGACATTTTCTTTCCGTGAGATCCTTCATTATATGTTATCATGGAATAAGTGTATTCAGAATATGTGAAATTCACTTGGGTATATATTTTCAGTTCAATGATGAAGAGCCAATGGAACTAAAGTTCAATAGGAAATGGGGGTATAAATAAAATTAGATGGAAAAGGACAGTATATGGTTAGAAAAGGGGGGTATGACTAAAGTTAGATCGAAAAGGGGATCTGAGTAAAGTTCCGTAACCTGTTGCAACCAGATTTTCCTCCAAACTCAAATCACCCCCCGGTCCTTAATATTGCTCTCCATTGGACTGAATGACAACTGTATGGCATTTTAATTGTAAACTTCTCTAATACAGTTTTTAGAATTACAGTGGTACCTCCGTTCACGAACTTAATTTGTTCCACGATACTGGTCGCGAACCGAATCAAACTGTGATCAGACCGCGATCTCGACTAGAGGAATTGCTATGCCTGATGAAGGGACCCTGTGTGGCCCCGAAAGCGCTTGTGTAACTGACATGAGTTTGCAATAAAATCTACGAACTTTGATCCTATAAGGATTTGGTGTGCTGGTGACGTTTCTGCAATTAACTCGACTAGAGGAAGCCACGACCATGTGTCAGAGCGGGGAAGATGGGTGCGGTTGTGTTCGTCACCCGATGCGGAGTTCGTGAACGGAAGCAAAATTTTGCTGAACTTCCTGTTCGCAAACCGAATTGTTCGTGAACCGAGGTACCCCTGTATTTGCTTTTTATTATTGTCATTTTCCTGTAGCATGAAACACAATACTCGAGTTACTGCGTCACAAATGCAGATCTAAAAGGAAGGCAGCAGGTCAGAGAAACTTAGTTGTACAGCTGGGACACAGTGAAATATTATCCTGCTTTTAAACTCTCAATCATAATGCATTTAAAGTGAAACTGTGCTCACACTATGGGCATTGAGGGCTCATTTAAATGGGTATGATAGAGATTCATGCTGAAGGGCATCCTATCACACTTTGCTGATGGATATGCATTGTGGTGCGCTGACGGAAATGGAATGGACTGCCTTTAATGCACGTTGACACTTGGCTTAACGTGTGAATGCATTACCACGCCGCACTGGTGCGAATGGGCCCTAAAGTAGTAACCTAAAAAAACTAACAAACAGTAAATGAGGTTAAATCAAGCCCTTGTGAGGTCTGTAGCTGCAGGCATTGGGGGGAAATTTTACCTTCGAAGATAACACAGCCGAAAATGCTGCTCCTCTCACTTTGCGTGCCCTGGCAGCAGTGACTTGGCAGCCTGCCAACCTTCCAATGTAAATAAATGGCAAGTGCTGTTAGCTGTTCAGAAGTTTTTACAGTCTTTGTTCTGATATTTGGGTATGAACTATTCCACACTGCCTGCAGTTATACAGGTCAGTGATGGCTTGTTTTAAAGCTCTTTTATTGCTTGATAAAATGATATAAATATTTTAATATCCATAGTCTGGGCACCGGTGCACTTAGCAAATTAGAAAAGGGGAGACGTTAAATAAATTCTGGACCTTGATGAGTAATGACTGCATTATTTAGGGCAGCAACCCCACTGTGCTCATCCCACTAAGCAATGCAAAGTGCAGGAACTGAGTGACCAATAGGATGTCAGTCACTTAAGTTGGATCACTGGACTATGTCCTATGAATTACTGCACTCACACCCTGATTGATTGACTATAAATCTTTTTTGTTTTACAATGTATACCATTTTATAAAAATTTCCTCAGGATAGTTTACATAATAGATTCCCCCGGAAATGATTTGTGGTTCTTTAGTCTTCCATGCTGCCTTATTACCACTGCTTATCCTTCCAGTTCCATTAACAGTTTGGTGTATGAAAGGCCTTTGCATATGTATCCTGACCTAGAATATTTAAAAAAAAAAACACTTCTGTCCCCTCAAACACCTGCAAACAAACAACTAACATCCTGTTGTTGGTTTTTGAAGCTGCATGAATGGTATGCATGAGACTATAGGTTTCTGCCATTTTGAGATGTCAGGGTTCACGTTTAGTCTTTTGTTGCAGGCCCAGGTTTTGCCATCTTTTTTTAAAAGGGCTTTTTTATTTGCTTTTATTATTTATTTATTTCCTTTTTGGTAGAAATAATTAGGTAGGTGCAGGTAGGTAGGCAGGACATACCCTCAGTTCTCATGCAGATCTGTACGTGGGAAAAAAAATCCCCTGGGTCTGCAGGGTTATTACCGTAGTTTAGCAATGCGTTGCCTGTTTGCACTCTTTTTGGCTTGCAGTGCTGTGACTGTGCTTAATGTTGCATGCGCCTGCTTCTACATTGCTGCTTTCACTGTTCTTGGGAATATCCATCTGCCTGCACCCTGTCTAGGCCCCCATTTTGTACTTTGCTCTAGCTTTAAATTTGGTCACCGTTTAGCTTTACATGATGGGAGTTTCCACCCAGAAGTAACCTCTGCCTTCCACGCAGTTACTGCCAAGTGTTAATTTTTAATCGTGCGATGAAATGTAAAATCTCTCTAGTACTTCAGTGGTGAAGGGACGCCAACCAGAATATTCACACCCTCACACTCTCCAGGAGAAAGATTTCCATAATGTAGGATAATCGGAATAATCTGACTGCAAGAAAGTGATAGATTTTGAATGGCTTTTGGGTGAGGGGGCAGAGAAATTAAAGCCCATCAGGAAAGTCACTCTGAGGGCAGTAAATAATTTGTCTCCTTGATGGTCTCGCAAAGCTGGAATTACTATTTGTCAGAGATGGATTTGAACAGCAGCGTGTAGAGTGAATTGCTGTAACCAACGATCAGTCACAGATCAGCCAATATAAATTGAGTCCTTTTTGATCAGCTGTTGTGGGTGATGCCACATCATTGCTCTTTGTACTTTTGGTTTACATGAAACCTTTATTGCCTCGGAAATCTTACATGCTGCCAATATTGACCTTCCCTTCTGAAAATGGCCTTTTCCTGACTGCTGTGGTACTAGAATAACTTTAATACCAAAGGGAAGAGAATGCCCAACCAATCAGTCGGGGACTTTAAATAAAACAGGCGTTTGCTTGCAGATGATTGGATGATTCAAGTGAAGATGGCTTCACTTGAATTTTGGCCAAGTTGGCCTTTATATTTATCCCTTTAAAAGGGATTTCCAATAATAAGTAACAAAGTCTCTTATTTGATTGCGGCCCTTTCATGTAATAAATTGGAGGGTTCTTGCCAAGCACAAGACCCTATCCATCAGTATACTATTTAAAGTGCTTAACAGGAGTCTGGTCAACCCAATTCGGTTTACAAGGCTTATTGCACACCTCCAAATTGTGTTTTCTCGCCACCTTCCTCCAAAAGTAATACTCTATCCATGCTGCTTTTCACATCCTCCCGTCGTCCTGATCGCAACTCATCTCCTGGGTTGAATAATGGCCAGCTACATTTAACTCGCAAAGATAAGCCCCTGGGCCGTGCGTCATCACACGCAGGTAATGCAGAAAATATTTCCTGTCTTATTGGCACCATTCCCTGCATAGAGGGTCACCCAGCGCTACTGCAAGAAGAGGACCCTGGAATATCAAGTGACCATACTGAAGACCGTGCCATAAAAAGGTACGTATGCAAATAAAGGGATTCCATTGGGGTTTGGGAATCTACCCAGCCTCAGGTTGGGCCTTAAGGCTGCACTACAGTGCCATGAAAATGGGAACTGCAGATATCCATCTTGAGAAGACAAGTTGTAGCTTTTAGGGTTTGATACCAGTCCACATCCCTGCATAGAGGGGTCTTTAATGGATGGAAATGCCCTTTTTAGAGAAAGCTTATACAGCCTAAATCTCATGAAGAAAAGACAGGATCTCTATTTTCATTGAAGTTTTCTTGTGTGTATTGCTTCATATTGGAACAATATAGACCACATGAGCATTTTGTACCATGTGACATTTAGGGGTACCTAACTGCATACATCTAAACTACTTTTGAACTTAGCACAGGCATACCACCGGCACCACAATAGTTAGGCACACACTAAAAACCTAAAGTGTTATAGAGTTTTGTCATTAAACAAAATGGCTGCCGTCAGGCTCTGCAGGCGATGGGTGCTCTTTAACACTCTGCATGTTTTGCTGTATGTGTCTCTTATTTCTGCACTCCTTGGTTGTCAGAGGGTCAAGCAGCCCTCCTAACTGTCAAGGGGGATCCGTTTCTATGCCTATGTCTTTGTGCATGTTGTTTAAAACTGTAGGTGGAAAAAAAAAATACCTATATATTTTTCTCATTGCTCCTTTCCTGTAGGTTCAGAGTCTTCTAGTAGTGTAGGGTCGTCCACAGGTTCTCTGTCCCACACCCAGCAGCCTCTTCCAGTAACCGCTATAAACCAACCCTCACATGGCACAGCTGCCGTCTACCCGACTGTCAGCGCTAGTAATTCTCTTTCCTTTGATGGTGGCATGAGTGGGCAAGTGGCTCCATCTAGCACTAGCTTCTTTTTGCTTCCCTTGGAAGCTACAGGCATTCCTCCTGGCAGTATTCTGATCAACCCACAAACAGGTTTGTACTCTTTTAAAGCCTCTCTTATTGCCAGGGCATTGTTATCATGTTGCGTGTATATAGTGTTAAGTGACAAATGTTCTGTCTCTGTAAGATGAATGTTCAGTTTAATGTCAACCTGTCATGTTTTTGCTGTACGGTTTGTTTGCAGATATTTGACCACCAACGATCAAAAGTCAAGAAAAGGGTTTTCTTAGCATAGATGGAGATAAGTTTAGGAATTTAGACCACATGGACAGGACCGTGGTGCACACATGATCCCTGATCTTCCAAGTACTCTGTTGACCTTGCTTATGATGCTCTATCCCGGATGAAACCACCTTCCCACTGAGTTTACAGCCTTGCTGCATGTGATTAGGCAGACCATTTGAGCAGAGCAGCATTTGGGTTTCCTTTTATTCAAGGATTAAGTCAGTTAGAAAAACCAAACCCTTACCTTTGGACGAGCACATCTACACAATAGTAATTCTCTTTCTCTTTTTATTTTCAAAACGTTTTTATTTTTCAGTATAGTATCGGTTAAACAGAGCACTATCACGAACATCGTGAGCGTGCAAAAACAGTGAGTATACATTGGCATCGCTATCAACATATGACAGTACAACATACGAGGCATAGCAATCACCTATCTGTGTAGGGGAGGGTGGGGAAACGGTTTCGGTGGGGGTCCCACCATTGCGGTCAGAGCAGACCAGGAAAGAAAAAGATCAGAGAAGAAGTGTAACAGTGAGGGAGGGGGGTATAGTGGGGAAGGGAGGGGGGACTAGGATGGTTTGACGCTTTGGCCAGAACATCCGCGAAGTAATTCTCTTTCTCTTTAAAAATTAGCCTTTGCAACGTACAGGACTTTGCATTTTTGAGGCGCTATTTAAATTGCCTGAAGCTTTGTACGTAAATACTCCTGCAATAGTTGCACCCCTGCCGTGGGGTTATGTTGGTTACAAAACCTACATTTCTGCAGACCTCGTGTCCCTGCCTGTTGTTTTGGACTAGCAGTGAACATTACTGTACTGGTGGGATCCACATTTAGCTCTCCTGTCCTGTGCGCCCAAATTCTCTTTGCCTGTTTACAGGGCAGGTACTCCCACTGAGATTATGATTTTACTTTTGTTTGGTGTGTGAGCTCCGTTCAAGCTCAATGCAAGACCGGTTTCAGGCACCCATTGAATTATAATATGTATTCCTTTGCAAGTTGAGCTTTGATTCTGCCTCAAGTGTCTCTTCATAGGAAAGCGACAATGCCTTTGCAAAAGGATGCCCCCGAAACACTGATACCATGCCAGCGCTTCCCCGCCACTTGTTCCTCCATCACAGCCAGCTACAATACCCAGCATTTCAGGTATGGGGAAGCGTATTGCATTCCCCCATGTGACAGTGCTGGGGTCTGCGGGGGCCAATTGTTGGGTCTGAACACTGTCACGTGACAGGAGTGTCACAATTGATCCCCTTAGCTTCCGACAGAAAACCGGACACTGGGGATGTTAGTGCTGGTTGTGACAGAGGAAGGAGTAATGGGGAAGCACTGGCAAGGTGTGTATCAGTGGGTTGGGGGGGTCCTTTTGCAAAGTCACTGTTGCTTTGTCCTGACAGCGTCTATAAAGTGTAAGAAGTTGCCTGTCGTCCTTGACCTAGAAACACACCTTTTAGACTATTTTAACTTGTACATGACAAAGTACAGTATATAGCCAAAGGTATGTGGACACCCCGAAAATTGGGTTCAGGTATTTCCAGTAAAGGGTATTAATGCAACAGCACACATTTTAGAGAATTGTGGCCTTCAACCTTGTGATAACAGTTTGGGGAAGGTCCTTCTGTTCCAGCCTGACTGTGACCCTGGACACAGTCAGGTCCATAAAGACATGGCTTGATATATGGTGTTGAGGAACTCAATGGCCTGCACAGAGCCCTGAACTCAACCCTACGGAACACCCTTTAGGATGAATTGAAACAGATTGCAAGCAAAGTCTTATCATCCAACCTGACCTCACAAATGCTCTTGTGGCTGAATGGGCACAAACGCCCACAGACACACTCCAAAATCTCATGGAAAGCCTTCCAGGAAGAATGGGTGCAGTTATAGTTACAAAGGGGGTGGAGGGATGGGGCAACTTATTATTGCGCACGGTTTTGCAGCGGCATGTGTCCCTTCAAATCCCCGCTGCTCTCCGCGCCTGTGTTGGCGGAGGCAGCAGGGGCACAGATCGCTGCATTCCTAGCTGCACCCCCTCCCCCTGTACCTCCGCTGATGTCCCAGCGTCCCCTTCACACGCTCCATCTTCTTTTTCCCTGGTCCGGACACAGCTCCTTTGCCCCGCCCCCGTCTCCTCTTCTTCTGCAGGCTGGGAGCCATACCCAGCCTGCTATTGGATATTGTAAAATGCAATAGCCAATAGCAAGCTGGCTATTGCACCTGCCCACTGCCTGCTGTCAATCAGCATGGGATGACCTGATGGAGAACTTTCTCCTTCAGGCCCCTCCTCTGCTGATTGACAGCAGGCAGTGGGCAGATGCAATAGCCAGCCTGCTATTGGCTATAGCAATTTGAAATATCCAATAGCAGGCTGGCTCCCAGCATTCAAATAAAATAAAAAGTTTTAAAAAATAAAATTAAAAATAGAAAAAAACTTGTTTTTGGTGTGTCATTTTGAATAAAAACAGTTTTTTTATTATATTCTGAACAACAGGGACAGACAGCAAAACAAATGTGACCCCTTATATGCTATCCAAAACTAAAAAAAAAATCTTGGCTGGAGTTACACTTAAAAAATTTACCTGTTCCGACTTGCATACAAATTCAACTTAGTCCCTATCTTGTATGTAACCCAGGGACCGCCTGTATAGGGGCTGGTGAGGTGTCCACAAGCTTTTGACAATACAGTGTATCACTATAGACACTGGCTTTCATCACATGTATGAATACAGTAAAGTGGGGCTCATGTATGTTTTTTATATCATTATTTGGGTAAAGGGCGTATGAACTTGTTTTCTCCTTTTACATGGCCTGCTGACTTGTCAACAAAGAGACCACCAACTAAGTACACACTCATTAGATTCTCCTGGTTCGGTTTTGTATTTATATCTCAATAGATGGTCACAAATTTGACATAAAAAATGGAGGTAGTCCTTTTTTGTTTTTTTTTAATGAATACATGGCTTCAGTTGCTCTGCTGTTGCTAATCACTAATGCCTTTTCCCCCCATATATGTCTATTTTGATTAATTCGGGTTTTCTGCAGTAAAATGCAATAGCCAATAGCAAGCTGGCTATTGCACCTGCCCACTGCCTGCTGTCAATCAGCATGGGATGACCTGATGGAGAACTTTCTCCTTCAGGCCCCTCCTCTGCTGATTGACAGCAGGCAGTGGGCAGATGCAATAGCCAGCCTGCTATTGGCTATAGCAATTTGAAATATCCAATAGCAGGCTGGCTCCCAGCATTCAAATAAAATAAAAAGTTTTAAAAAATAAAATTAAAAATAGAAAAAAACTTGTTTTTGGTGTGTCATTTTGAATAAAAACAGTTTTTTTATTATATTCTGAACAACAGGGACAGACAGCAAAACAAATGTGACCCCTTATATGCTATCCAAAACTAAAAAAAAAATCTTGGCTGGAGTTACACTTAAAAAATTTACCTGTTCCGACTTGCATACAAATTCAACTTAGTCCCTATCTTGTATGTAACCCAGGGACCGCCTGTATAGGGGCTGGTGAGGTGTCCACAAGCTTTTGACAATACAGTGTATCACTATAGACACTGGCTTTCATCACATGTATGAATACAGTAAAGTGGGGCTCATGTATGTTTTTTATATCATTATTTGGGTAAAGGGCGTATGAACTTGTTTTCTCCTTTTACATGGCCTGCTGACTTGTCAACAAAGAGACCACCAACTAAGTACACACTCATTAGATTCTCCTGGTTCGGTTTTGTATTTATATCTCAATAGATGGTCACAAATTTGACATAAAAAATGGAGGTAGTCCTTTTTTGTTTTTTTTTAATGAATACATGGCTTCAGTTGCTCTGCTGTTGCTAATCACTAATGCCTTTTCCCCCCATATATGTCTATTTTGATTAATTCGGGTTTTCTGCTGTCTGTAGTTGCTTGTTGAGGACAGTCAAAGCAGAAGGACACCAGTTTGGTGGCTTTGTTTTACGACGTGTACTTTTTAAGGGCAAAATAATAAATACATGTAATACAAATGCATTTCCTCGTGTTTTATCCCTTTTAAAAACGCTGCAAATACAGATTAAAAAAAATCTGTTCGTCTGCCAGAAATACAAGAAATCAGAGAGTGCCTGACATCTTGTAGTAAGTCAACTATACTGCTGCACTGAAATTGCAATTGGCACTGTCAGGGTCAAGGGTTTTGGTTATATGATCAGTAGTGATATGCAGGGGGCTCAGTGCGAACCCAGTTTGCCTGAGTGCTTCCAGACCTGCTCAAAACTGTGACTGATGCACGCCACAGAGGGCATTCCCTGCTGCTTTGTGACCCGTAGCTGTGGGGTGGGCAATGCTTCTGCACTGCCGCATTTGATTCACCTGGGAGGGGGGATGCTGGTGGCAGTAACAGTATTGCGTAGGCTTAGTTGAACTCGGAGAAATGGGGAAATAAAGAAAACAAATGATATGAAAACACCTTTTCACTGTTCTGCCATTTAAGAGTGTTTTAATTGCATGTTTTATTTGACATATACAGTATTTATTTTATGCAGCAAGCAATATTTTGGACCTTTGTCCCCCTGTAGTAGCTCATATTGCTCTATTGAATGACCATTTAGGTTTTGCTTAGAAAGTGTAATATTTAAATGTTTTTATCTTATAGCTGATATCATGTTTTATTGATTGACGGTGTTTGTTCTTCTTAAATCTGGTTGTGACGTGTGCTCTGCCTGTCTGTTCTCTGGCTTTTTAGGTTTGTAGAGTGAACAGCGCAATTGAATCTCTTGTCTGACTTATTGTTTTAACAGGTCAGCCATTTTTAAACCCAGACGGCACGCCAGTTGTGTACAATCCACCA